ATATCACCTAGCCTCGTGCATCTTGCCCAATTCTTTGTCAGTCTTTGTGTGCCTCGGGTTGGTTCTCGGCAGGCATCCCTAAATAATTTTATTTGGTGTACACTACTGTGTTATTTGTTGTGTAGTGGAGACTAAATATGGTATTTCTGACGATTAAATATGTGAATAAGGCAGAAATACCATATTTAGTCTTCACTAGATACGACCCCAGAGGGGTTTTTTCTGGCAGGTTTTTTCTGGCCTCCGTATAACCGTAGTAATGTCCTTGTAAGCGGTTGCCCATCTCTGTTAATTCCGACTTCTTGAAGTTTACATGTTAATAATGTATACCTATATTTGAATGTGTAAGGAATTGACTGTATATCAGGATTGTATATGGCATATCAGTTGCGAATGTATGTATGCATGCCTCGAGCTATGTATGCCTCGGGTTGGTACTTGGTTCTCGGCAGGCTTCCCTAAATAAACTTATTTGGTGTACACTACTGTGTTATATGTTGTGTAGTGGAGACTAAATTTGTTAAATTTGATCTTCTACAACGACCTTGAATGAAAAAAATAATTTGTTTGCTTCGTTTTCACGTTGTAACAATGCCTTAACGTGCCTAAGTTTCTGCGATATAAACTTTCGAATTATACATTTTTTTTTCACTGATAGCGTTAAACTCTGGAATTGACTACGCTACGAATGCATCTACCGTAAGCACGAAGATATTGCACTTAAAAGTCGATGCATTTGATATCCGCAGTTTAGATAAATATGTTCCGAGACCGAGACAATTTCAACGTCGAGCTGTTTCTGACTAAAGAATTGGCAGAGAAGAATGAACACGCGCAGAAAGTTATTAACTTTCCAAATAATCTTGATGCAACAGAATCAACCGCGCAACAGAAATATCATGGTTTCATTTAATGTTTTCTTTTTTTGTTTCTTTTTTAGGTCTTAGGTGTCTAACATCACATACTTAGTGTTATTATGCAAGAAAACAAAAGTTCCTTAACTGCCTTTTTTCCTGGAGAATACTGAATTATTGAATCATATTGCACACGTAAGCGCTATGAACGACATATAATCCTTAGGTATGATTGCCAAGCGTCTTCCAAACAGTAGGCATCGGCCGGAACTACAGCACGATAATGACAATCGTTTGTATCGCTCTCTCTCCCACCATAGTATCCTTATTCAAAGCTTTGTTTATAAACCATCATGCGTGGTGTATAAATTCCGCGTCTGAGTTAATATACTTCCTATCTCTCTGTTCTACTATTTAATAACCTGTTGCTAGGGAGCTGATACGTTATGATATCACCGTGTTTGCAACAGGCTACCTGATAAAACCCCTTGAGTGTCGCAGTAGCAATAAAATTACTTAAGGATGGATGTCCTATTATCTCTAAGAACTCTGCTTAAAAATTCCAGACAAATGTAACTCGCTTTCTATTACAATGTTCTCGTGAGTTAATCTACAACTTCCGCATTCCCACTTTATTTATTGCAATGAACCCCTCCCCACTTTTACGACACTTTTTTTAGCAGAAACATTACATCATGATCCTTTCGAAAGTAAAAATTATTTCAATCCCGTGCAGGAAGCAGTCGAAGCGGTTCTTTAGGCAAGCTCTCGAGCAGATAGCTTGGCAAGTAAAACATGAACTTTCTCTTTGCACCTCTACTGCTTGGAGCGCTGCTACCGGCTTCAGGTAAGGGTACTTCAACTAAGAGCAAAATGCATGTGTTGATACTGTGAGTCTAGAGAGGGAAACAGCGGTAAGCCACGTGCAGGATTGATCCCGGTGGATTTGGCAGAAAATAATTTGTTTCCTATCTGAAACTTGGCTGTCGCGAGGCGAATCTAAGCAGTGTTGCGTTGTTACTTTTTCCGCAGTTGGCAGAGTCCTTATGTTAAGATCTAAACTCGATCTTTCTGTTTGCACATCTGATATTTGAGAACTAAGATCAGTGGTAGCAATATTGGCTGACAGTTACCATGGTCGGGAAGAAGCTAATAAATATCAAACAAGGACCTTATGAAAGTGAAAGTCATGCGTAAATTTTGCTTTACGGGCGGGTTAAGAGTTATTCTCCGCAGCTGTTCTTTATTCCGGTGTGCTCGGATATGAATAACAAAACGAAAGAGGCCGCATTCACCCGATAGAATCACAAAATAAGATGACTGTAGCTTAAATGATGACTGCAGCTTAAATGATGACTGCAGCTTTGCAAGTGTTTGCAAAGCTCAGAAATAGTATCTCCCCGTACAACTTTTCGTCATAAACAATACTGTCATCTAACTATCCAGATTAGAAAATTAAAAAGTAAAACCCTTAGAAAACAAACTTTATAGAAGCACCTTTCAATGAAACTACGGCAGTACTCGAAAGCAAGTGGTCTTTCTTGTTGTTTATAGTGTAAAATGAAATCTAGTTGCTACCAGAGTGGCTCCTCCAGATCTTTGAGAGTGCAAACCAAACTTGGACGATTCAACTCCGAGACCTTGCAGGTCAATTTTGCTTTTGAGTTGGTACTTTTTAGGGGTAGATATCAATTGTTGCCACTCCCACACAGATAGGGCTCAGGTACCTTTTATAATTTATAGGGGTCGTATCCGAAATTGCCGGCGCGTATCCCCGCCCTCTTATGTAAATGTGTCCCCCGGGGGTGATGATACGTGCAGCACACTTGAAATTTAGCATGGACAAATTTTGATGTGATTTTGGGTGAAGAGAAACAAGTTTTGTCAGCGTCTAGTGGCTTGTGCGGAAGGGCCCTTTACCACCGTGTGCATAATTACGCGTCCCGCCAGACGGCGGGAAGCCAACAAAGTGTTCAGACATTAGTATAGAAAACTCCGCCTCTGTCTGGATTTTTGGTAGCCTATTGACCAGTTCCCAATCGAGATTTAAGTCTGACGGGACGCGTAATTTTGCTCACAGTGTTAAGTAGCCTACTTACCGGAGCCAGGCTGTATGAACTTTCCAGACATCTTGATTACTACCTGTGATAAACGCTTGTCAATTCCCCTATCGGCTTTTGGAATCGACTTAACCTTACTTTTGCAATGGACGGACACCTCTTTAGACACTCTACATCTACTATTGGAACCACAACTCTACCCAACATCTATGTGTGGGGCAAAATGTAAAATCATCGGTATCTGTTAGCGTCTCGAAGATTCCGGCAAGCGACAAAATAAGATCAACTTCATTTTCTGGATCTGAAAACTTGCAGCTCCGCAAGTGACTTGAAATGTCTTGTTTACAACTATGCAAGGGAACGACTTGAGATATGCAACTTCGGTCTTCTCGATAACTAAACCCACATGTTCCACCAGCGAACGATTTAAATGAAGAGCAAATCCTTATGTTAGCATGTAAGATGAGACGCTTACATAACAGATAATTACCTAAATCAGTTTGTAGCTTGTCAATCAAATTGACTTTTGTAACCCTTCTTTGACTTCGGCCGGTAGAGGAATCATTGATTTAGTTTTCTAAATGTAGTAGTTTCTAAAAGGTTTTTCTAGGTATCATGTAAAGAGGATCAAAAGCCATCTCTTGGTATTTCGGAGATTGATGCATCTTTGAATTTATATGTGTCACGCTTGTCATGCAACTGATATAATAAGATGGAGAGGATATATAAACTGGAACTCAAATCTGGCTAGAATGTGGTAAAGCATGACCTGATCATCAAAACAGTTCATAAAATCATAAATAAACAAGGTAAGAGTGTTATGTTAGATTTTTTTTTCAAATTGTAGTGATTTATGCCAGTAAACGGTGGCGACAAGTAGGCACACCATGACGGTATATTTCATATTCGCTAGCAAGTAAATTTTGCCGGACTTTGAGTTCGTCTCAAGATAGAACAACACAAATACACATGGAAATTTTTACAGTAACTTTTTAACCATCCTTTTGTCTTTTAAAAGCTCGTAGCTTGGCAGATTCTGTCATATCGGTCATTGTTAAAACTGTCTTTGTTTTGATGCTACTTTTCGAGGTAGAAAAAGTATGTCGGACAAAAATATTCACCAAAAAATAAATATTTCTTTGCCAGCTTCAATAATGACAGGGGATTAAGTTTAGATGATAAAACAACGGATTATGTTGACAGAAATACCGGAGGTCAAGTATATTCGTTACATGAGGTCACACAACTCGGGTAATATTAAAAAATTTGCATATTTGAGCGGTCGAACGAAAAAAATCATTTCTCGAAAACTAAAATAAATTTTCACAAAAAAAAAACTACATCACAATTATTAGAACACGATGGGCTACAAAATATGAAAGTAGATGTGAAAGTAAATTTTGGGAGACTTGCCGCTGTTTGTCTAATGCTTGCTGACATTTAGCTCTTAATTGTATTTATGCCCTTTTTCTGGGGGATATAGTTACATGAACTATGGATTGAAAAGCAGACTTCCAGATGGCGGTCGAAGGAGAGGATTCTTCGAGCTCTCGAATTAAGATTAAATCGGGTCGTTTTTAACTTTAGGGTGCCTAACAGCCATTTACAGTGTTCTTTTAGGCTACAAAATACATTTCAAGGTAGCGTTTTCTTTATATTTCCATAATTCTTTGATAAAAAATCGATGAAGAATGGCAATGGTCCATTCAAACCTTTGTAGACTTTGTATTAGTTCATGAATGAATAAAGAGGTCTGCAAACGCGGCTCGTATTACATGTTACAAGAGCTCCTCAGTTTTTGGCGCGCAATTTGTCTTAAATTTCGAGCAGTTAGCTAGTTCAAGTAGCAGCGTGGAGAGTTCCAACTTGTGTTTAATTAGAACACAATATCAAATGCCATATCCTCTGCCAAGGCAACAAAGATGCCTTTAAAGATTGACTGTGCTTGGGCAAGAGTGTTTCTTAGAGAAACTAAAAGTTTAAGCAAAACTGAAGGGATTCCCGGTGAAGGAAATGCAAAGTTAACTGCTTTACAGTTTATTGCTGCAAGATAGATTTAAAATCTTTAATGAACATTTTCAAGAATACCCTGGGCTACACATAAAATGGGAAGACTTCATCCGGCATTAGAGAACCATTGATGATAAATTTCACAACTGGAGAAGCAAACCGAAAAAGAAGCATACCTAACAGCATTTTCCTCAAAGAACTGGAATGAGGGCAAGGTAATTTAAGTAAAAAAGGGAAAAAAGATTACTCGCTGACCAGCTGCCAGGCCTGTCTTTTATTCAACTCTCAATTACAATCTACCTTCCTTTTAAGTAAGTTTTGCAGAGGGGCTAGGAAGGGACCTCTGACTGAACTTAACACAAATGTCAAGAATCAATGTCAGAGAGAACCTAAGATCACAAAAAGGAAATTAAAAAGCATTGGAGAAGCAATATATGCCACTTACAATGAAAAATGCCAGGAAAACTTTCAAAAATCACTTAGTGACATTCTAGTGCTTGTCCCTGAAGCTGTTCTTCAAAAGAAGTCTTCACCTGCTGAAGAGAAAAAAATAAGGAGAAATGAGCAAAGGCAATCAAAAAAAGAAATAGAGTCCAAAATGTCACAAAATGACGGTGCTGTTCACCTTAGTCTTCGTCAGTCTTACAGTTCAAGACAAGTCCAAAGAATGGCCCTGTCCTATGAAACCTTTGAAGAGGCCAAGGAGAGAGCAAAAACGACCCCACCAAAGGTCAGGGAATGATCCCACACAGCTTCACCTGATAACATAGAAGGAAAGTTGGACCAGCTACTACAACATCAATGTACAACATCAAAACCAAGGGAAGTGACTGAACACCTGGCAATGGAGGCAATTAGTAATAGGCAATAGGGCAGTTAGTCAAAGCCTATTTAAAGTAAAAAAAAGTCGATATTGCCCGATTTAAGCCCCCATCAGAAGTGCATCTCAATTCAGAGGATGGCCTTACAGGTAAAAAAAGTAGTAAATTTGTAACTAAGCCAACAGTGGAGAGTTACATCTCTGCAATATCATAAGCAAAAGAAATTGTGTATTAGGATTGAACAACATTTGATTTATTAATTAAAGAACAGTGAGATTTAAGAGTTAAAATTTAGAATTTAGAATTTAGAATTACTAGCAATACTGCTACTTATCATTTTCATCAGTTTAATTAGACTACAAATTAGAAAAACATTAGAAGAAGTAGGCCTGAAGTAATAAGAATGCATACACAGTCTAAGTCAAGTTAACGATGAATATGTGACCCTATAATACTTTCATGGGTTTTTATGATTTCCCTAGCCTCCTGTAACAAAAGGTTTGATTAATTTTCCAGGATTCAGGGTATGCAGAGCTATGAGGAAGCAAAAGGGGGGAGAAATTTCCGTGCCTGTGATGCAATCAAATAAACAACTCAAGCAAAGCATCCATGAGGGAATAGAGAGTGGCAAATTTAACATAGGAGAGCCAGTGATAGAAAGAGAGATCACCAAATTGGTGATAAATGCACAGGGAGAGATAGAGCAGAGGTAATGCCACTTGCTAGCAAAAAAAGAAAAATTCCCTTCCAAGACATTAGAAAAGAAGCATTGATTAAAAACAAAGACCTCCTTCGAATAAAAAACGATGCATTTTATGAAGAGCTCAGTGAAAGTGAGATTCATGCAGAGCTAAAGAAGATCAGTGAGGGAATAAGGGGAACACATGATGAAATCAAACAAAGGCTAAAAAGCCTTCAGCGGAAGAGGCATTGGCTGATTTGGCATGACCATTCAACCCTTTCAAATTATGGTCACATGCTCTTTTGTGTCAGAGAGATGTATGACCCAGCAACTCATCTCTCTGATGCAGAAGCTAGAGTTCAATATGGAAAAGATGTGGATGTCCAGGCAACAGTGGAGAGGCCCTATCTATATATGTTGGTGCAGAGCAGTTCCAGCATTGAAGATCAAATAAAATTTGTTCCAGCCAGACATGATGATTAAGTAAATTTAACCCAAAAAGTGAAAACAGAGGAGGATGTTGAATAAGAAGATGAGATGAGATTCATGAATGGAGACAACCCTGCTGCAAACTTTGAATGTGGAAATCAGCACGGAGGGCATTATGGTTGCCCAAGTTGTGATGGGCATTTAAGCATGTGCCACAATCTAGATTACATGGCCCAAAGAAAGTACAGAACATTGACTGAATGGCAACAGCTGGTGTTAGCAGGAAGAAAAGGAAAAGAGGCAAAACAACTCTTGAACCCATTTAAAGATCTGAAGGTCAACGAGCCATGAGCTGAAATTGAAGCAAGAGGTCTTGGAGATTCAGACAAAACCAAACCAGAACTTGCACAAATTTTAAATGAAGAACTTGGAGGGGCAACAAAAATTCCAGCACTGTTGTTTGGGGATGAGAGCTAGTGTTACTGTGGAAAATCTCAACCTCCAGTCCTATGAGGTACTGTGTTTTAAAGCTCTTCACTGCACCATGAATCATATAAAAAACATTCTGGAAGAAATCCCACATCACATTTCTGACATTGATACACTGATAAAACTTAAAGAAATACTAGCTGTTCAACTTAACAAAGAGAAAAAGTGAGGGGCAGATTATCACAAGACACTAATCTAATTAACTATAGCCCTTTACCAGACAACAACCCATGATGTGAGAGCTTTGCTGGCCACCCAGTGCGAAATGGTGGAAATTTTTTATGCTCAGGACAGAAAGAGATCACCAAAGTTGATATTAAGGTTGCATAACCTGTGTTGGAGGCATGCAATTTTGTGCCACAAAGTGATGACCCCAACTAGAGCGTAACAAGAAGAAAGCTCTTTGGCATATACTTCCATCACATGGAAGACCTGGAACAACCAAGTTGAAAGCTTAGTGAGCAATGCAGTTCTGCACATGTAAGCAGAGAAGACTTCAGGAGGAAACACAGCTGTGACCTGCATCATCAGGCAAGAAAAGGAAATCAGCAACACGAGCAAAGCCCTACCAAAGCTGGGAAACGCAGTTTTACCCAAAGATGTCATCAACATCAAATACGGAAGATCACCATCCACCTTCCTAAATAAATACACCTTATTCAATGTTTCAACTTATAATAAGTGCTGATATTTTGTGATTTGCATAATATTTTTCAAAGCCCTGAAAATAATTAATATTTACAGCCATAAACATTAAGTCCACAGAAAAGCTATCTTCAGTGGGTTCCACATGTACTGTAAGCATGAAAAAGCACCAAAAAGATAATTTAATACATACCATTTTGAGGAACTTTACTATAACAGTCCAACTGATAAATATATGAGTATCCTATATGTATGTAGATCAGGAACATAACTGAAGGCAATGTAGCCTGGTAGAAATCTAAAAAAAGAACAGCAACAACATGATTAATCATGTTGCAATGTTTAATTTTGTGCAGCAATTTTTAAGTCATCAATTTATTTATGCTTCTAAAGGATTCATTGAACAAAATGAGCTCAAAATGTAACATTTGCAAAGTGCATGATGAATAATGTTGAGCAAATTAAATCTCCTACTCAAGTGATTTTCAAACTAATTACTGTATTGTACAAATAAGGCCCTCTTTAGTGACATCCTTGAGGAAAAGTTAAGAATTGCTGTATTCTTTTTGAGTAGTGCAAGGAGAGAGAAAACCATGATCATATTTAAACTCAAGAACCTTAAAGCTTATCATTTCCTGTGTCATTTTGTTGTAGCATTTTGTTCTAATGTGGGAAATTAAATAGTGAAGCAATTATACTTCGCTATATTTAATGATGAACAATTTAATTAATTTAAAATGTATACTAGCCATTTTCTCACTGGAAATCATTGTTGTATGTGTAAGTAACAATTAATTGCTAAACAGAAAATTATATTATAATGTATACGTACAAGTAAGACTACAGAGCTTTTATACCTTGTCTTGTGAACTAAGCCTGTAATGCTGCCCACTAAAAGATGAGTCTCACTAATACATAAAAGAACTTTGCAATAATTTTTTGTCTAGTTATTAGTTCCCATGGTTAACTTTCATATTAGGACTTTTGATAAAAGGGCAACGGTTCACCTGAATTCTTTTTTCAGAACAAAATCATAAATTCCTCTGCGAAACATGATTTTAACTTAAGCTAACAAATGCTTTTCCTCTTACAAATGTCCCTTTCTCTCAACGTTTGTAAGTTGGACCTTAACACAGGTTACGCTGATCAAAAGAAAGATTCTCTAACAACACGAAACGATTTTAATTTCACACGCTTCGCCCGAAACATGTTGAATTAAAAAAGCGTGGAACTAAATTAACACCTGTTCGGCGATGAAAGTAATTCATAGCTTTCCTGTCGGTCAACAAACGCATAAAGCCTAGAATGATCTGGTCTGATCGAACTCACACTAAATTCAACCGAAGGACGCACAACAGATACAAGCAACACCTTTAAACAACGTTAAAAAGGAAGCAGTGATAAAAAATTTCTTACCTTCATATTCTTCCCAAGTGATTCCAGACTTCTAACACAAACAAGCCTCAGAATACAAGAGAACGACAGAGTTTCCGAAACTTCGATGTGCCGCAATGTCCGCTATCTTTGCCGCCATTTTGAAATGTTTTTCTTAAGGCGCGGTTGACTTCGCGGGGGGGATTTTATCATCCTGAGCCTTGTCTTAGCGAGCCCGAGAAAGGTTGGGATAGTCATCGTAAAAACACTTGAAAGTTAAGTTTAATCAATCGTTTGCCTCACGAGGTAGCGACCTCCAGCGTGGATCAGCACGTTTCGAATGCGTGCCGCATACTTCTTTTTGGATTTGTAAGTTATCGGGTTTATTTATTTATTTAGGTATATCAAAGCACAAAGCGCCTATCTCTTTGCGTCAGTTAACTGACGTAAATGAGAAACTAGTTTGCTTGAAGAACTTTCGATTCGTAGCTGAAATCGATCTGAGACACTTAGGACCTTTCGGTATCTTCGATCTTCTCAAATATGATAAGAATGCCTCACGGAAACTAGTTGTTGAGAGAACGATATATATCCCTTTGCTTTGTGCACGTTTCGAACCGTGATTACGCAGGCATGGATGTATACTCAGAGGATATCATGCGGATGCATTTCATCCAGGAAGACAATACTGGAGGAAACGAGACAGAAGAACAAGAATGAGCTTTCTTTTTCCACGACAAGTCTTTGATTCCGCTTTTAAAATAGCTTACTATATATAAGTGAGGAAGGCCTCCGATCGAAGAAAGTTCGAAGAGTAAATTTATTGATCTATCATCCATGACGACTGTTGAACCTGATCGAGAAGAAGGGATCTTCTTGTACGCGGTCAAGAGTCGTTTATCCGAAAAATAGGAGTACTATAAGACATGGGAATGAACTTTTTCAGTCATAGCCTTGAGTCGCGCAAACTCACGCGAAAGCCAAAGTAATTGGAAAAGTTGAATGACATTTTTTCAGTTTCGACGAACATTTAATTTCAAGCTCTTAAAATACAATTTGAATTAGGCGTTGAGGGTTTTTAGATTTTTTGACAATTTGATGATTGACTATCTTGGAAACAAAGAAGTTCTACGCAATTGCACGTGTTCGCCTTGGAGATATGAACCTCATGTAGAAAGGGAACATCTTTATCTTCTCTTCAATTTTGTTGCCAAGCCTTTTGACTACAGAAAATTTACTCCTATGTAATAAATTGGTAACCTTGCATGCGTATTTTCGTAATTGACATTTTGCGATGTGAGAAGTGTATCCCTTTATGAAAGGTTAATCTACTTATTTGGTACAGTTACCTTGATTTTTCACTAAACAAATAGGAATTCGAATCGCGGACGTTCATAGCATATCAGCGTAGATAAAAGTGAAACACGATGGGGTTGCGAGCCTGTGCTATAAGCAAGTATCATTGTTTGAGAAAAAAATCGTTTCAGAACGTGTCAGGGAGTGTCAGATAATTAAATAAAAATATTTAGCTTGCGCTAGTTTCCAGAATATCTTCAAAATAAATCTTTCAAGATGGAAATAAAATAATTGGGAAATTTTGTATTTAGTACGATCAGAAGAGTCACACGTTACGCAAGATTTCAAAAATTGATGTAAAAAAATGTTTTCTAGCAGCGAAACTATTTTCGCTTTCGCAAATTGCGCATAAAAAAGAATTGAGATTAACTTTCTCTTAATTTACTCTACTTGTTTTGGGGAATGCCACATTAACATTGTCGTCAAAATGACTTTCCGAGGAGCTGTGTTTGTCGCCTGTATTTTAGGACATTTTTACTTAATTTCAGGTGAGTTTAAACGATCTTTGTTTTGAAAAGGAGTCAAATTACCCGAACAAACGTGCACGTAAGCTAAATTAGTTTGCACATGTGCTCCTCATTTCATGCTTGAGCATGCTGGGCTTGTCACACGAAACGAGGTGACCGTTTAAAATTGGCTCTGTGTAGTACATTGTGCTCTGAATAGCTCCAATTGATTTTTCCTTTAAATAAATCATCTGAGGGGTTTCCCCGGACTCGCGATTAAGCTTTTTTTCCCTTTTCACATTATACCTAAGATCAATGAAAAGTAAGATCGTTTGTCTCACGACTTAGTCGCTCCCGATGAGGATAGCGACATGTCGACTGCTCACAGGTAGTCTTTTAAGGGTAATTAATTCGTTATCTTGACAAAGACGTTAAGTGCGTTATTTTTATAAACTCTGTTAAGCCATACTTTTAAAATAAGCCCCTCCCTCCCTTTTTCTTGATAGAAAAAGAAAGAGAATCCATCATATGACTATCATTATGCTACGTAAATGATTACATACATTTAGGCTTTTTTCATCAAAGAAATGCATACCTTATAAGGTGTTTTGTGATTCTCGTTGTGACTCTGAACTGGCTCTGATTAGCCCTTTCCTCAGCCACCCTCTTTAGTGAGCCACCAGACTGGAGGGCTCCGAAATTAGCCATGAAGTCCCTCGAGGGCTCATTTGAGCGGTTGTGGAATAATTTTACCTCGCCACGATGAACAACCACAGCATTATTTACGAAAAACATGGTCTAGGCACTGTAGCACTTTATCTGTAAAGTTTCAGTCAATTTGGTGTTTTCAGCCTCCTTGCACACAATAAAAAAACTTCCTAGCAAAGTTAATCCACATTTAGATGTAAATTCCGAAACAATAAACGATTTAAATAAAAAATAGATGTTAGCCCAAAAGAAAACATCGAAACGTATGGGGTCGAGTCCTAGCCGCGGTTATTGTGTTGTGCTCATGCACCAAACAGTTAGTCAGTGTTAGTATCTCTCCCCGCTCAGGAGTACTTCGATGGGTAATGAAAATCTGTCAGAGAAACTCAGCTCAAAAGAGGCTGAGGGAGACACCTTTAATGGACTGGCGTCCCTTCTATTAGAAGCCTGGGTCAGGTTGCTCAATGCTGGGTTTAGATCAACCCAGGGTTAGTGTGAAATCTGATTTCAGATTTGAAAGCCTTAATAAAAAACTCACTATCATTCCTTTTATCTATAACTTGATGATTGGATACCCCAAAAAGGATAGAGAAAATTGTCCAAAAGGGGCTTTTGAACAAAGGAATAAAGAAACCCGGATTAAAATTTAACCCAGGGAAAGCGCTGATCGGTCTTCGGACAACTGGGCCCTGGCCCCTTAATGCTGCAACGGAAACCTGGATTTGCTCCTGTTTTTTGAGACAATAGGCCAGAGAGCTCCTTTGACCTGATAATTAGATCATATTTATGCATAACTCCCGTAGTATTCCTGTTAACAGAAACGGGAGGCAGATTTTTGAATGCAGAAAGATAGAGATCCTCTTCTTACCAAATAAATACGTTACTGTGCCAATAACACGCAAACCATGGGGTTTCGAGCTCACCTACATTTCATTCCATTCTCCGATCAATCTTTAATGAACATAACCTTACCAGTGTGTTTGTTTTCTAAGAGGACTGAAATTTATTGACGGCAGTGTTAGACGTATTTTCAGTGATGCATCTCTATATCGATTGTCCATATTGCAACTGAAACGTCCTTCTTCAAAATGATTAATTTGTACCACAGTAGCAGTATTTTACCATAAACTTTCTTTGAGGTTGGGAAAGGAATGCATAAGTTCAACAAATTTATGTTCCGCCTTTTTTTGAATCTTTGCGCCCTTACCAAGTCTATCTCACAAAGCACAGCGAGCCGCTCTTGTGTCAATGAAACTATAAGTTTCGCATTCTTTCCCTCACATTTTTCTTAAATCAGGTGTTACTGCTCTGAGGCCCAAGATCTCGGTGGTCGATAAGGCTGTTGTTGCACGAAAAGGTTCCACAGTAACCTTGATGTGCTCTGCCACGAGGGTTAGAAAACTTACAACCTCAAGCTCTTGGGAATTCAACGGACAAGAAATAAAGAACAGAAACAACAAAATAATAATACCAGAGCCACACTATCAGACAAATAAAAGAAAAGGAAACTTTACTTTAACCATCAAGAATGTTTCGGACACAGATGTTGGTACATACACCTGCAAAGTCTCCAAAATACACCTTGACAGGATGCTTGAGGCAAAGGAGAATATAGAGCTGTCACTTCAGGATGAAGGTGAGTTTCAATAGCAAATTTTTGTATTCTTGGGCACTTACTGCTTCTAGTATAGTTATCTGAGACTCTGGCCTTTTCTCCATACAGCTGTCTCTGTAATCCTGCCAGTCGTTAAGGCACTTCGCTCCTACGTAGTGACCAGCGAGGGTTCCAATGTTACTTTGACGTGTATTGGTCGGAGGGTGAAAGCGCTCGATACCATGGTTAAATGGAAGTTCGAAGGCCAGGAAATCGAAGAAAGCTCAAACAAGATAGCCATTGCCCAATTCCTCCCAAAGAAACGAGGGAATTTTTCGTTACATATAACTAATGTCTCGAAGGAAGATATCGGTAATTATTCGTGTGTCGCATCTACGGCCGACTTTGGAAAGGCGATCGTCAAAGAAACTTTTATTCACTTGAATTTATTTAAAACTGGTGAGTAAGCCTTAAAACAATGGCATTCGTGCCTTCCTCTGAACCTTCAAAAGAGAGCCTTGCAATCGAATCGCGTAAAACAAAGCCCAGTCAGAACAAAGAGAACATCAACATGAGCCAATTAGAATTCCAAGTAAAGAGAAAACATATGCATCTTGTAGAAGGATATGAAAAAGGGAATTGAGGCCAAGCCACGTTTGCATTTGGTTTGCATCTGGCGTTAGGAAAGGGTAGAGGGGATGACAGACGTGTCAGACCAAATTTGATTTAATCCCTGATATGTTCACATTTAATAGGAAAAGGTCTTGATTGCAGTATTATTGCGTTTGAAGCCCTGATATGCATTCGCATATTTGTGTATTACGATGAAAATTGTTGACATCTATATTTCTAAATCTCTCAAAATGCCACTTGACAATCATTGTGCCTCAATTGATTTCTCGTCAAACCATTTCACTGGTTTATTTCCAACGCTGCTCTCTTAATAGAAATTCACTGGAACATAATCTGTGCAAAGAAATAGTAATTAAAAAGAAAAAGAACCAATAAATCAAAATCAATGGAGAACTGAGAATAGACAATTTCCATTTAATGGCAGTAACACCGAAATTGCCAAAACCCTTCAACTTTGACCAAATTCCAAGGTTGTGCTGTTCAAAAACGAACGTGTAATTGATGTTCCGAAACTTAGGTTTTCATTGATTATCATCTCTAGTGTCGTGGCCCAGAGGAACTTATGCTTTGCCAATGCCAAATAGTGGCTGCCCAATTACAAGTGAGTTCACTTGGTCAGCGGGTTATCATCGGCAAGACACAGAGGAAACAGGTCCACGAAGTAGTTGGTCCAGTCCACTTCACTTGAAAGGAGATAAGACTCCCACCCAGATTACTCAGCATTTCTGTGTAAAGACAATTGAAACTGGGGGAAGACTTTGGCCATCAGGGCAATATTGTATATACAGAAAGGGAACGTGCCCAGGCGGTAAGGTGTATAGTTTTTGAAAGCGACCGTATATGAACTTATCTTTCGCCATTGTGTTTCATCAACCTTGAACCTTTTTTTTTTTTTCTCGCTGGTTCTCATTCTTTCCCTTGGTCTCGGTTTTTTTGACACTTTAATAAAGTTTCTATTCTATATTCTATTCTATTCTGATACCAAATATGATGATGGCGACCTCAAAAGCTTCACAGATCTAACAGCTAACGTTTTTATAATGAAGATTTGATTTGATTCCCGGACCAAAGAAGGCGTATGAATACTAAGGTCAGACAATAAAAATATTTACAACCGAGTAACGAGATTCAAGGTAGTATTTTCTTGTGTGCGACAGGATTTCAAGAAGGAGAGATCAAATGGGACGACGAGGACACGAAAAACGACAACATGGCTGAAGGCATTTTACCTGACGGTGAATACAAAAAGGATACTATTTTGCAGTTCTGCTGTCGATCAGATGGGTCAGCGGAAAACCCTATTGAGCTGCCTATTCGCGAGCCGTTTTTCCTCCTTAAGCACTCAAGCCGTTGCCAGGCAGTTTTGGGCATGCGTGTCACAGAAGAGTGGTTATTCTGGGACTGTGAAGACCGAGAAAACAAAAACTCGTACAATGGAGAGGTACCAGCGTCTTTTATTACGAAGGACGTCAAACTACATTACTGCTACTACGAAAAACAATGAAAAAAAGGCATCCGTTGCTCTTTGGGAATGAAATCTTCATCTTAAGGGTCGGCTAACTTGCTGAATTTTCATTGATATATTTTTGTTGCACTTTCATACACTCAAACATTCAGGTAACAAAAGCTACATTAATTGTCTAAGAGGCTCTCCTTTTTTCGGCGCTTGGATCAGATGGGTATTTAAAGTAATTCTCTAGTTTCGGCGATCGTGTTTCGTTGCTCTTTTTTCACCCAATGCAGATTAATCTATGATTAACATAGAAGGTTATACTTGCACTGTCAGCACACTAATCGATGTGTCGCAAATAGCAAAGATTGCACAAATTGCGTGTATAGACTGGATAACTACAGATTAATGCTGAGATTTGTGGGAGATAATTTTAAAAATTAAATTTTAAGAAATTTTAAACACATTTATTTTAAATCATTTTTATTTGTTTTACTCGTAGGGTCAATTTTATACTTAACTTAATAAAATTTAACTTATTTAAATTATACTGGAAATGATACAGAAATTAATAAAATAATACGTCCTTGTCCTTAAAAAAGGATTTATTCTGTTGAATTTGACTTTTTGATCTTCCTCCTTGAGTAAATGACATCTACCGGTCTTTAGTTCACCCCAGCCTCGGAGCTTTAAATTCGATGTTTTAGATGTTTAGCACCTAAAAGAGTGCGTCACACAGAATTTCATGAAGAGCAATTGCCAATTCATCATCTGCTGAATTGCGCTTTTTCCAGCGCAAGGTTGGAACCCGACAATTCCAGCGGTAGTTTTGGACAAACTGGATCATCCGAAATCATACCCAGTCCCAATCGTGACCCAGATGAACCATTTAAAGAGCAATCTGACTGCTTAAGAGAGTTCGGACAAAAAAATAAATGCTGAGTGTTCCTAACAATCGCTTACGAATTTAGAATATTGACTTTTGTCGATTAATCGAAGCGCTGGACAGTAAACTGTCTTACCTGTTATATCGATATTCAGCTGATGGTCTAAAAGACAATCTTATGTCATGTCTTTCTATTTGGAGGCAAAACTTATCTTGTTGTCAAAATGCAAACTACGCTACAACATGCATAAGGGGAAAACATCTGTGATATTCCCTAAGGAAATTCTCAGCAAGGTCATCTGAGGCTGAAGAAAGTAATGATATGAAACTGCTCTTCATTATCAGAGCAAACATTACTATTCTAAAAGGTTTTATTAAACCGAAGAAGTGGGGTTTAACCATGAAAATGAAATGTTAACTTGCCTTTCGGTCATAATTTGAATGGCGAGGAAAGTTCTTCCCCTATGAGACTTTTCATTTCCTATTCATATGCTAATTTTGAGTTAATAATTTCCCTAAGTTAAGAAATTACAAACAAATCAGAAGACTCGACACCATGACTGTTTGGTTACCATCTGTCCACATCGTCGTACCGGATAATTCAGTTTTTCGGTGATGAAAAATAATGTTGTGAAGGTTAACTAGAACTAGCAATAATTGCTTTATGCCTTTTAGCAATGTTTGAATCGCCTGAGTGGAAAAGGCCTCTCACAGACAGATTCTTCTCACATCTTAAGCATGTGGTTGTCTTAATAATGTTTATGCAGTGTTAAGGGACATCAGGAAAGCAAACAAGAACAGCATGAAACTTCTATCTTTTTTTTATAGTATTATTATCTCTTCTGAAGATAAGACGGGAAAAATCTTGAAACTGTTAACACAAGAAAAGCTGACAGATCAAATTTACCGACGGGCTTTACCCATATCTAAGTCTTTTTGCTAAATTTCGTCTCAGCTTAATTTAAGTCAATAGACTCTGTTTTATCTGTAAGGGTGATAAACAATGAAAAATATTCATTTTGTTGACAAAAAGAAGCGGAATCAGTCATAAGCGCGCGCGTTTAAGTATCTGGTCTGACTAATCTCAATTTGGCATGGGGAATTTTTTTAAAAGAAGCGTAAAAAGTGCATTTTTTGGTTGTATTGTTCTATTAAAGTTTATTTTCTCTCTTGACGAGCCAATACATGAATGGAGGCTTAACAATTCATAACAAAAGCCCAATTTGGTCTGCACGGATTAGATAGAAAATACCTTTTTCTCAGCTGGGTTTAAAGCTGAACAAACGACTTTTTAAACAATAATGGATATTGTCAAAGCAAATGCAGTGTGTTCATCAAAAATTTCTGTTCACAATACTCTTCTCTGATAAGAAAAAAACGCAAGTTTTTATAGACGAAAAGGTAGGTGTAAACGCTGTTTTAAACGTACCGCCGATAACAGCACAAATGTTTTTTGCATATTTTATATTTTGCAACTGGTAGATGTCGAGGAGCTTATTTAGGTGGCGTACCCATTCAAGTTTAATTTTGGGCTAAAATTCGTGCGAAGCGCACCGATGGTTTTCCAAATAGGTGTTTCACAAGAAACGTTGAATCAAATTTTATATTAAGATATTACGTATATTTACAAAAGCTTTCGATGTGATCGAAGGCTTGATATTATAGGAAAAGGTTTAATGTCATGTTGCAATGTTTATCTTTTCGAGCGCTCTTTCTACAGAGCGCAATTGACATCAGAATCTGAAAACTATCAGTGTTGCGTTTAAAGGAACTTTCATAAAATCACAATGAAGGGGATATATCTCGAATTCAAATGTACAAACACAATGTTTAGAACAAATGAGCGCACGCGTACGATGAAGCGTCGTCTTCGGTCTCAGGGCTTCGATTCTGGCAATTTTATGAAATATGTCAAGGAAATAGAAGGCAGAAAAAGGATTCGCGATAGCAGAAGGGTAATACATTCATTTTGAAAATGTGGTCGAAACAAATGGTAAATTTCCTAAACATGTCTCAAAACTTTTGTATGGCGTTCGGTTTGAAAAATTGACGTTTAACAATGCCGAGGAAGCCACAATGCAGCTTTCAGAGCAGATATAGATAATATAGATAATATACATATATGAAAATTGGCGCTAACCTTGTTAAAAGAGTGAGGCCACTGGGACTTATAGTAAAATGTTTACAGACGCGAATGTTTTCCTTCATGAAATCAATGTCATTCACAGTGGTAAAGGTGATTGGATTAAATATTCAGAAAATTAAGAATTTTTAAGTTATCAGGGCAGAAATTCATAATGGTTTTCATAGCAGTTTTGCAACTTTCATTATTTATCAAGCATAATTCTCAAAATCTGTATGGTCAGCGAGTGATGAAAATTAAGATTTGCAAGATCAAGCGCATGGCGAATGAACTAAATGTTTTCGTCACTAGTTGGATTCCTCCATTTTAAGCACGATTGCAATGAAAGTGAGTGTTTTTGTAGAAATTCGACGAAGCTATGACAGGAAAGCTTCAATGTCCGCAGTTAAACTTGCTTTATTATGAACCAGGCCTCTATCGCCGAGTAGAAAGGATTTAGATCCTGATTTTCAAATAAAATTTGTTGCTAGTTACATATTTGTATGTTATTATGGAAGTGCGTGGAGGTACTTTTTTTTACTTCAACTTGTTTTATTTGTTACTGTTTAAAGCGCCAAAATAAACTAAAGTTATTTTCAATTATTTCATATTAGAAACACATGAAAAGTTAGACAGACCCTAGACAGTGTCAAGGGGGTTGTTTCAGCGCAAGTGTCAAATTAGTTGATTTTTCATCAGAATCTTTTAGATGGAGTTGCTAAAATTTTTAAGGTTAAATTAGTTATGCCTGGGGACTTGCTGTCTGTTGCATACCATAATCGTGTTAAGAATTTATCTAAAAATAAAAATAGTGTCAGAATCAGTAAGAATATTGATTGGGATTTTCACACCCTAAATTCTGAGACTGTTTGATGAACAATTAAACCGAACGACGTTAACGCTGGTGGATCAGAACTGAACTTCCAAAATAACGTTCGAAGACATTGTTCAAAGACGTGAAATTCAACTGTTGAAACATATTTCAGAAAGTACTTTACCAGTTTGACTTGCTTATTACCGTGGAAAAGAACTAAACGACCTTGTCTAAAACGAATTCAAAATTCAAATTGCGAAAAGTGTAGCACGCACCCAACCTGCTAATTAGGTAAACAAAAAAACGCGAGTTTCAACGAAATCTCTCATTATGTTAAATAATCGAATAAATGATTAAATATTCCATATATTTTTTTTATGTACTAGAATTTTGGCTGTTAGTTTTCGAAACTTAGTACGCCCTTATTTGAGCACTGTATCGATCTCATAAGCCGAAGACGTTTAAGTGTTCTTGATGACCGCAAAAGATCTTATGGACTTTATAGTTCGTTGGCGAAAAAGTTATGCCTAAAAAACTGAAAGCAACATAAAAGTTTGGATCGTTAAGTGCAGCCGTTATTTTGCTCCACCTTCTGTCTGTATTTTCTCTGTTCTACAGCGTAATACCGTGGCATATTTTGCGCTTTCCATTGCCGAGAAGGCGTAATAGTGGGATAAACAATTGCAATAATTATTCTTTGTATTTGTCTGGTTAAAACAGTATATATCCGTTACCTTTCTGAGGACAGATATGATTTAATCAACTGTTTTATTTCATTAGGAATGTTTCACTTATTTACATTTTCTATTAAAGCAATAGGCCGTACTTTCTATCGGTTTACAGAATGTTTCAACTTTCTTTGAGTTTACCGGTTCAATGAACGATCGGTTTCTCACCAATAGTGTTACATTTGTTTTACAAATAATCGCACTCGCGTCATAAATTGGCGTTTTTGGGGCATTTGAATGGAAGTATTACCAAAGCTGAGCGTTGATCCTAAATCAAAATTTATCGACGCCTGTTCGAACACTTCTCAAGAAACTTTCGTCGATGCTATATATTTTACCCTGTAAAAAGCTGCGAGGATACAGGTAATCTTTTTTTGAACTTTTTTTAATCTTCATATTCTGCTGAGTAAATTGGACCCTAGTTTATTATTTGAGTGGTCATTTTGCGATGAACGACCACTCTCAAGATAACTTTGAACGATTACAAAACTAAAACGTTTCTCAGTTCCTAGAAAAATTGTCTTCCTTTTTTTTCCCATTTTTTTTATCAGCAGTGCAACTTTAATTTTGAAAGGATTAATAATCTCCCAAATAATCTTTGGGGTTTTGCAAATTGTGTTGCTTCGGCGGGAGAAAATTGTAGAGTACACTGCTTGTCCATTATTAATAAGTTAACATATATTCTCGAGGGAAATTTGGAATTAATGAGCATACCAAAATCAGTTTTCTTCGCCAGAGAATTATTCTAATGTTTTATAAGTCTTTTGAAAAGTCTTCTCACGCGATTTATTCCAAATTCTACCCAAGTTATTTTAATACTTATTCGGATCAGATGACCGAGAATGATATTTGGGAAAACTCACTGTAATAACTTCTAACACAAATAATTTTTGAGTATCAAAACATTTACTCTTAACCTAGGCCAGTCAACTTAACCTAGGCCAGTCAATTAGAGTTGATAAATTAAACTCACATTTTCCGAAAACATCGAGATAAAATCGCGCGTGAGTTATCGAGGTAGAGAGGTATTTTGTATAAAAGTTAATTAACTATCAAGGTGTTATAATCTCCGTCAGGCGTGAACTCGAGCTCCCTTGCGACCCGTTCGGCGGCAAACATCATCATCGGAAGATTACTCATTCAACTGAACCTTTTTTAAACTCGCATTTGAGTGCTGTCTTTTTAGAAAGTAGTTGGGCCAATTTCTCATCATGAAACATTCAAAAGGAGAAAAAGCCCAGCCCTTAGTTCTAAACCAAAGCTAAGCCAAGGAAAAAAGCGCAAAACATATAAATTTTCTTGTCCAAACTTAAGTTATCATGCGGAAATCGAAAAGGTGTCGTAGTTTTCCCAACCTTTAAAGATTTTCAGAGTAAATGTTATTCTCCTAGTTTTACCCATAAGCGCTGACCGAGAATGTAATCGTTGAAGCTACTTACGAAAAACGTGTCCGGAAAACTACCACTTTCCCGTGAAGCGCTACCATACCTGTTTTGAACGTCAGGGGTTCAACTATATCATTTGCAAGCCTCTTACAGCGTATGACTGGTGCGACTTAATTTCCCGAAAAGGCGTGAGATGTTTGGAAGAACTGATGGAACTCGGTGAAAGTTGATAAGAACGTTGACTGAACAACGAGAAACAAAAGAGTGTCGGCTTTTTCTTTTTTTAAATCAAACACTTTCATCGTGGCGGCCTCGGAAAGTAACCTGTTGGCAAATCTTTTAATATTCTAATTCGACAAGTCTTTTCAAACGGAAAACCAACTGCAATACGGAAAAATCTTTGAGAGACTGATCTTTTGTGATTGACATCATCAGAGATCACGTTCGATAACCGACCAATTCAACGGAAATTCGGTAATTTTTGTGTTTACCGGTTTTCTTAGCCTAGGAAGAGGAGATATCCAAATAGCTCAGAACTTACTCGAATTCTACATTTAATAACCTTTTCGTTGATATATTGCTTCTGGTGGTTTCCACATAAGATAGCGCACGTGCAAATTTCTTTCAAAAAAGAGCCTGCGATCATAGTGTAACCTTTGAGAGGCTAACTCACCTCTGGCGCGTGCGCATTTAGAACGTAGAAAATAGCGGCACCAACAGCCGTTTGAAGTAACTGCCGTCGAGTTTCTTACAATCCCACTCAATTCTGGGATGTTGACAGCGGGAGAGGGTTTAAATTTTCTCGGTCGTTTTTTACAGGATGCAAGTGTTATTGAAGTATATCACTTCAAGAGCGATGTGTTTGAATTCTTCGCTGGTCTGGCCAGTTTTATCTTTAAAGCAGGTAATTTAGTGTTAACAACTGGGTTGAAAACATAAATTAGCCACCGTAAAGGGTAAAAAAGCTGATGTTTCGAGCGTTAGCCCTATCGCTCGAAACATCAGCTTTTTTACCCTTTACGGTGGCTAATTTACGTTTTCAACCCAGTTGTTAACACTAAATTACCTGCTATACTCTCCCACCGACGCAGCACCACAGTTTCTTTAGAAACTTACCCCTTTATTCATTTATCTTTAAAGCGTACAGGATTCAACGTATTACCAACGACATCGAACTCCCAAGGTGGCTCTCTTGTAAATGATTTTTTATTTTATGCACTGACCATAGGAATTAATTTTTCCAAGGATTACTATATAAATGAAGCTGTCTTCTCTGGATTGCCAATATGAATAAAACTATCGATTTGCCGATAAAGTGCGTGAGAGTCAGCCCATATTCTTGTTCTTACCCTGGAGAGGCTGAATATAACGTTCAGAAGAAGGCTTCATCAATCACAGTAAACAAGTGGGGCAAAACTTTTCTACATATTGAGTCATAATGACCTCGTTTCATCGTTTCTCAACGATACATGACCAAAACACCTCGTGATTGTCGGCTTTTACAACAAAGCGCTCTGCTTCTTTTTTATTTCTACTGAAGACATTGGCGATTTGACGCCCATAAGAGGTCAAACTGGAAGAACTTGCTGCACAAGCTTCAAGTGTGGCCTAGCCCCTTAGAGCCCATGAGGAGAGTGCAAATTTTGTAGTCTTCGAAAAAAAATATATGCCTGTTTCTCTCAAACTGCACTCGAAATTTTGCTTACTTCCGAAGTCATGTTCAATATTTTTTGCACTTAATTTGAGCTGCCCTCGCTGTTTGGATTGACTTACCGGCACTCAACAATTAACATGCAAAAAGTTTTGCATGTACGTGATTTCACAAATATCGACTAATCTGGCTTATGCTATAACAGTTTCTGATTGCAGAAGTCTATTTCCAGAAATTTCAGATTGATTGCAAATTTTGCAAAGCAGTAAAATGTGTGGTAATTGCAGTACTACTTTCCCCTTTCACACCAAATCTAAAACACATTTTAAGCAGTTTTTCCAAACACGGTTTGAAAGAGTTTTTTTTTCGTCGAAGTTGCTTAAACTGATGTTTAAACTCCTATGAAAAATTTAGTATTTATCGCCGACTTCGTTTAACACAAAATATATTTTGCTGTTGTGTATGGGGGTGTAAGATTGTTATAATGAATTACCTTTGTCGGCCATTTGAAACGTTATGTAAACCTGCCTCAAAGCAGAACGTTGATTACTTATCTCTCGCTCTCTTTTCTCACTCTTTTAAGCAGGAATGACACAAATCCCTCGAAATAATTGATCGACTTCTGACGGAAAAACCAGTGATTGTCTTTGGTCAAGTTTTCGTCGAGTGAATTTCGTCGAGTCAATTTAAATTAGTTTGGTAACATCTGGCTTTTGTTTGGAAAGACCGCCTCAAGACACAGGAAACAGGGGCAAATAGTCAAAGAGATAACAACGCTATGACTTTTAAACTTCTCTTCGACAACCTAAGTGAAAACGCAACTCAAGAAAGAAACAGCACGCAGGTTATGCCAACGTTAAATGAAAATTATCTCCCTCTCATACTGTTAGGCTTTCTTTCATGCCTCATAGTCATTGTAAATTCTCTAGTGATCGTTTTGGTGAGCAGAAATAAGCAACTCCAAACAGTGACAAACTTATGCTTAGCTTGTTTAGCACTCTCTGATCTTCTCTCAGGGCTTGTCGCCATTCCTTTGATATTTGCCTGCAATCTCACCGTTTCAGACGGATTGCGCTTCTGTATTGCTATGGATCTGGCCTCCAGGTTCATAGCCATCTCGACAATATTACATCTTCTCGTCGTGACGTTTGAACGATACGTGATGATTATCTACCCCATGAGATATTACAGAATCGTGAGCAAACAACGAATAGGGGCCTTGATGATGTTTGTTTGGACCTTCTCTTTAGCTGTCTCGCTTATACAACTGATTTGGATCAGCCTTGGGTCAACTCAAACACCAAATGAACTTTACAGTGATGTTATTTACAGCTACAGCTGCTTTGTGGGCCTTGTCGCTCTTCCCTTATTACTCCTCGCGGCCGCTTATGGACGCATTTTCTTGGTGCTGCGCGGTCAACTACGAAAAATTCGACGACAATTGTCTCATATTCGGAACTCGAGAGGTGCTCGGCAAAAGCGGGGACAAAAACGTGCCGTGACCATTCTAGCCTCAATGATTCTCGCCTTCATTTTTGGTTGGTTTTCGTACTTCCTTAGCTCGATTTTCCAGGACGAGAATATAGTGGTACACTTTCCACCAGCCGTCAATATATTACTTCTTTTCATGCGATTTGGAACTTCCCTTGTCAATCCCCTCTTGTACACTTTGTTTAAAGAGGATTTTAGAAGTGTTTTAAGGTTGTTCGTTTTTAGAGATGAACAAAATCATTTGAACCAAATTCCATTGAGCACCAAAGCCGGTAGGGCAACGACATCTGATTAATAGCAAATGTGGTAGACTCAGTGTTAGACTCCGACGGTGAACCCGCTCTCTTTTCTTCAAATTCGTTTCCCAATTTAAAACAGAGTAATTCACAAAGGCTTCCTCATTATTGTGAATGTACGTAAGAAGGTCTAAATTAATTTAAAACTAAATAATGCAAAAAATAGCTGGCCAAAACGCAATAATCAAAATGGCAGATTTGAATGTCTTGGTATAGAAGGAAAAAAGGGGCTTCCAGTTTGTGAGAAAGCTGCAGTAATTAACAATTCTTAATAAATGCAAGAGAATAATTGAAGTATTTGGAAAAATGCTCTCCTCAGTATTCAAATCAAATGCAAAATTTTCACTTCATTGCCTAAAAAGGTAGAAGGCAAGCGTCAAAGCTCAATTGCTTGTGTTTGCATGACATATTTGTTATCTTAGTGAGTTGTTAGACAATACCAAATATTAACCGCATCAACTATTTAAAACAATTGAATTTGTCATTTTGCAAAGTTTGTGAATACACACATTGTCGAGTGCTGTGAGACTCAATCTAAATCAGTCAAAATTCTCTCGTAAAACTAAGGTTGCTTTATTTAAATAATTTATGCTTTAAATAACCACAGTAATGACTTATATAGTCAATCATACAAGGAATATAAGTATTCATTATACATCATAAATATCAAAACTCAATCAGTGTCGATAGCATACACAACATGAATATATTAATCATCTCAAATACATAGTATTACGTTGCATTTCACTTGTAAGACGATTTCGTCAAGTCTTATCCTAACCGGTTCTTGTGAATAATTGTTATTTACTGTGAATCTTTCTGTTTTTTATTTTAATTTAACTTCCATATCTTTTCCTTCTTTTTTTTTTCTCTATATGTGACATATCATAGCGTAGTAAAGGTTTTAAATATAACTATGGAGTGCGTTTTTAAGTTCAACAGAGTAAATCTCCTTTAAGTGTATCGCTTTTGTTTCTCTTCACCACGCTCGCTCACTCTCTCAACCAATCAAATGCGAAACTGATACCAATCGTCACATGGTCACTTGCGTTTTTCACACTTCATTCCTTAAAGGTTTATTTTATTCCCATCATATTCGGCGAGTTCTCATTTTCTCCTTGTTATTCAGCCCTATGCTTTGATTGCTTTCGTGACTCACAATACTCCATGTAAAAGTGCTCTATAAGAACTTTTCTACTGTTATGTTTCACTAGATCAAGACACTTCAGTACTTTTTTAAAATAAATTTGCTTGGAGCGGGCCAAGTGAATGAACGTAAAACTATATAATTACAAATGTATTTGTTTATCAATCGGAGAAATTCCCACTGAAATAATTAATTAATGAGCGCTTAAAGAGAGAGCCATGTTCTGAAGTCCATCCAGTTAGAGCCCAAAAGGACGCGACCATCCGTAGTACTTTCAATCGGGAGGCGACTGGCTTTGGAGACTATTACTGTCAGCTCATGTTTCACGTCTTTGTTCTGTTTATTATCATAATATTTGAACTCAAGATCCTTCATCAAAAACCCATAGTTCTTTCTCGTCAGTTCCGTTGTTGAATTGTGTGGTCTCTGCCGATAAAGAGCAAGAGAAGGGTAACTCTTTGGCACTACATTCCACTGTATCCCTAGCCTGTTACATCACTCATGGCTCAGTGGTAAAGGAGCTTGATATAGTCCATAACCAATCAGAGTTCGGGAAAGACTATATTGTTTTTAAATGGAGCAATCAGAGGGTAGGAGTTTCATCCAAGAAGCAGCGGACGGAAAATTAAAATGCTTAGGTTGTTAAGTGCGCTGTTTCCGAAAAAGTATAACACAAACAACAAAAAGCAAATAACATAATTGCGCTCTTTGAACATCTTTCTGTGTAAAGGTTTGCACTGAGTCCGCTATTTAGCATGGTAATTTTTTCAGTTCGCATCCATTTTGAGACGTATTTTGTTTCATACTTTACAGTCAAAACTAGTTTATTTTTACATTAGAGATGCTAATCTGACTGTTGCCTTTCAAGCTGCACTAACCTTTACGACCAAACTTCGTCCATCAACAGCCAGTAAATACTCTGGCCAATCGGCTGGGTGAATGGCGTAATGACTGAAAGACGAACCTTTGAAGTATGTTTTGAAGACGAATTCTGTGCCTGGAAATAGATATACAGAGTGATAATTAATTCAGAGCAGTAGCGGCGCTTAATTCATTGACATTTCAGATGTTGTTACATACATTTAGTCTCAGTTCTGTCGAGAATAGCTTTGAATCTAGCTTTTTATGACAGAAATTTTAACAAAGCTTGAAAGGTGAGAAGCACTGCATTGAAAAGAGGATTCACCAAAGCTAATATCTATCCTCTCAAGACAGAACTGCATCCTTGTTCCTCACAATCGTTGATAGCACCTTCATTAGAGAGCGACTCCCTGTTTTCCTCCCACCCTCCCCCCCCCCCATCCGATTTTGATTGATGGTATATCAAAGGCAAAAGAAAGAAAGTATGGGAAGGGAAAAGGAAAAGATTGAATGAGACAACGCTCAGCTAAAGTGGGACATCCTCAGTTATTAATGTTAGTTCCGCTCTCCTTTGACATGGGGTGTTTCTATTTAAAGCCATAGCACGTGTTTGATAATTGCACATCAATAGAGACTGAACTTACTTTTCGACGATCAGTTTTATTTCAGGTATTAATAATTTCATTGGCTTCCTGTTAGAAATAATTGATCGCTTCAATTAACAATAAATACTTACCTGTTCTGGGGCCTGTTATGTTTCCAGTAAAGGAAAGTTTAAAGGCTCCGTCTTCCCCGTTCTGCTCAGCTTTGAGGAGATTGGCCCTGCCCTGTCTCCTAAAAGCTTTTATTGTGTGTCTTGTGCTCTGGGTGATTCTGTATTCCGTTCTGCACGTCGAAAATAACATACAGGGTAGGACAAGCAAGATCTAAAAGTATTGAATAGAAAAAAATAGAGGAAGTAAATAAAATAACATGTGATTAGAGTTGATTAACCTTATGGTAGAGTGGAGGTCGGCAAGCTGTTCAAATCCAAGTTTGTTAACCAAAGAGTGGTGGAACAAACCCACCGTTTATTTAAGCAATGCACAGATTAAGAGAAAAATATGGATGAAAATTGAAGAATTGATTGATCTGGTCTGATGATCCCGAAGGCTGATGCGAATGCATCTCATTGACTATGAGAAATGATCGATCTAACCTAACGCAATTAAATTAAACCACTAGTATATCGCTCAGATTTGCTAAAAAAAAAAAAAAAGTATTGCAAAAAAAACAAAAACAAAAAACAAAGAGACTCAAGAGTGTCTAAGAATTGTAAATCGAACTCTCGAACTGGGCACGTTGTCACCAGCCCACTCACGGGCAAGGCATGCTCGAGTATTTGAGTTCAATAGACAGCTTTGCTAGGAGCGAGAATATAAACCTGAAAGCACTGAGTTTTGCGACAAAAAAGGAAGAAGACGCGTTTGGGAGAATGAAATTAACAGCAAGGAAGACTGAGCTCCTTCCAAAATTTCTCCCCCGAAAATGGCGAAAAATCAATAAAAAGAGGAAAACTACGAAGTCAATATGTGGCCAAAACACTTCTCTATAGTGTCTAAACATGCTTTTTGAAATGTTTAAGTAGTCCAATGGTTAAAAATAAACTGCAACACTTTGATGGAATCGAGACGTTTACGTTGTTTACGAAAAGGCAACACGAGTTAAAGTGAATACAATCGTACAAGTACAATTGTCCAAAATGTAGCTGTGGATAGACCTGCGTTTAAAAACTTCTGAGTTCATTTAACATTATTTTCTTTAGTGATTCTAAATCAAGTTCTTTTGGATCACTCGTTAATATCTCTTAGGGTTAGTGGATTACAGTTATTTAGAATATGGGTTAATAAAAGCATACTTCGGGCCAGAAAAAGTGTGGACATTTCATTATAAATAACCGATTGCGAAGAACTAAAGAAAGAATCGTAACACTTCGAAAATTCAAGTGATTGACGATTTACGACGCCATTGAAAAACGTTGACTTACCAGTAGTTTTGCGACGGCCATTTTACACCGTGAGCTATCAACTAAGTTTGTTTGTAATCCGTAAAGCATTGTCATTTTATAATGGCTAGTGATTTCGAAACTGTTTCCTGGGCTGTTCCCTTTCCTGTAAGTTTTTAAGATAGATGTTAACGACTCAGAAATAAAAAGAACCTCCGTCTTTTCGACGTAAGGGAACTTTCCATTCAGCGTCGGAGAAACACAATAATGCTTTAACGCCATATTTTCCGGCCTTTTCCTGACAGTAGATTTAATCAAGAACCAATTAAACCTAAGAGACGACTTGCATCAGTTACGAGTACGTATCTTTTTAAAAACTTTAATTTTGACGACGAGTTTCATTTGAATTTCAATTAAAAGCTTCCTTAAGAATGTGGTTTTGGAGTTATTTTAATACTATTTGAAAAAAGGACTTTCCGGTGATGTAAACAAATTAACGTGGTGGATCTAATTTGGTCACGAGATATTCGACGTCTTTGAGCAAGCTACTTCCAGGTGAAAGGGCACTGTTACTATCACATTGTTTATATAATTAAGTAGCAAACCAAGGAAAATATTTTATATAAGTTAAACTGAAGCCGTTAAACTCCACTGAAATCGATTGTTATTTACTTTTGCTATGTCAATAATTAGATTTAGGAGCAGCGAATCGAAGTAAAACTAATGTAATGATACTGCATCATCGAGCCGTGAAAGAATAAATGTTTTTAAATGATCAATTTAGGTTAACATAACCTGAGTAATGTAGCATATTTACTAAACACGGGGAAAAAGCCGAGAGTTCCAATCATCTTGAAAAGAAAAACAATCTTACTTCTTTGTTTAAGAGGGAGGTTCTGGAACATCTAATCGTTTGTCCTGTAAAAATTATGAAATTGGAATTTTTTTTAAACGGTTAAATGCTCTAATGCTTTGTTTTCATTTATGACAAAATAACTTTCATTTGCCATCAGTAAATGTAGTGAGCTAAACGGCAAGTATGTATATACCTCAAACATACAGAGTGGAATACTAGAAATACTGA